CAGGAGAATCGCTAACCCAGGAGGCAGAGGTTGCAGTGAGCTGAGATGGTGCCACTGGGCCCAGCCTGGGTGGACAGAGCGAGACCCTGTCTGTTTAAAAAAGAAAGAAAGAAAGAGAAAAAAGAGAGAGGAAGGAAGGAAGGAAGGAAGGAAGGAAGGAAGGAAGGAAGGAAGGAAGGGTGAGAGAACAAATCAGATTTGAATAAGTATATGATGAAGTTACCACAGGGCACATACTTGTACCCTGACTTGTTGCTTGTGAAGACACATCTTACCTGGTCCTTTGGCTGAAAAGGGGCAAGATGACTGACCCCAACAGGGAGTGGAAGCTGTGCTGGAAGCATAGGAAGGGAGGAGACACAGAGGGAAGGGTGGCTGAGACCCTCACTGCTCTCTCAGTGGTTAAGAATTTACTCCAAGCCCAGTATGTTGGCTGCACCCAGGAGCAGCTTTGGGGCCTCTGGGTCAGGCTCACCGGACCCCCGTCTGCTGAGAAGACCCTCCTGTCAACTCCAGCCCTGTGGCTGGACCAACAAATGGAGGACTGCCTCGGTCTCCAGGTTTCTTTTGCATGAAAATCTGTGCTCAATAATCCTGTCTAAGCTGTCAGCCAACCAAGCCCAAAGAGCAGCTGTCTCAAGGAAAACAGTAAACCAGGTGAAGAATGCCTTTCTCCGATTCGGTTGACGCACTTTATGTGTGATCACTCTTACGACAACAGAAGGTATATAAAAAGGCTCAATTACAGTTTCTTGGAAATAATAAAATAACTCCAAGGGACTCGTATGCTAAGGAGCCTGAAGATGAATGCCTGGCCATAGAAGTGGGCTCCCTTCATATTTCATAAAGCTGTGGTTCAGCTGTCTGGCAGGTGAGGAATGAAAGGTGGGATTATTTTAAAAACGTTTAATGTTGCATCCAGAAGTACCTAGTTTATTGTATAAACAGCACTCAGTCTTGAATGAAGGCAACAAACATGATCATTTTCTCCCTTCAGATATCCTTTTGGGAGATAACAGTTTTAGGGCTAATTGAGTATCACATCAAATAAGTATCAGCTTTATCAGTATACAGGAAGAAAATCTCTCTTTCATCTCTATAGTGTGTGCCATGCATCGGGCTACTTGGGGTTGAGGGATTATTGTCTCCATGTGACAAATGGGGAAACTGAGGCTCGGAGTGGCAGTGTGACTTGTGTAAGTCCTCAAAACAGAAAAGAAACAGGGCCAGGAAAGGTGGCTCATACCTGTAATCCCAGCATTTTGGGAGGCCGAGGCAGGGGGATTGCTTGAACTCAGGAGTTCAAGACCAGCCTGGGCAATATAGTGAGACCCCTGTCTCTACAAAAAATACAAAAAATTAGCCGAACATGGTGGTATGCATGTCCCAGCTACTTGGGAGGTTTAGGTGGGAGGATCACTTGAGCCTGGGAGATTGAGGCTGCAGTGAGCTGTAATTGCACCACTGTATTCCAGCCCGGGTGATAGAGTGAGACCCTGTCTCGAAAGAAAGAAAAGAAAGAACGAAAGAAAAGAAGAAAGAAGGAAAGAAAGAGAGAGACTGGGAATCAACTGAAGGACCTTGTAAGAAGTCTGTACACGAGACAAGTCAGAGCACATATCTGTGCCCTGTGGGAACTTCATTATCTAGTTTAAAACTGATTCATTCTCTTTAAATTGTGTTTTAAACATATGGAATAATAAAGTCCCTTTAAGAAGACTTGGAAAGAAAAGCTTCTGTTACAAAAATAAAATCAAAATTTTAAAAACCATCTTTAGAACACAATAGGATATATTCATTAAAATTATTTACTCAACATTTTCTCTGTACTTGCTAATTTTAAATATTTTTAAATATTTGATAAGACATCTGGAATCATTCATTTTATTTATTATGGTAATATCCCAGTGTTTAATGTATTTTCAACACTTTTCTAAAGTGATGTCTCACTTTGGTGTCTTTTTTTCTTTTCCTTTTCTTTCTTTTCTATCTAAAATTAGAAGTTGGGTTAAAAGATGTGGAAATTCAGGGCCAGTGGGGAGGTGAAGCTCTCCTTCTCAAAATGTTTTATTCTAGTTCCTTGAGTTGACTTTTTTTTTTTTTTCCCAATTTGATTCAGGTATAATTGTGGTATGTAATACCGCAAATTTTTTTTAAAGATTAGCCAGGTGTGGTGGCGAGTGCCTGTAATCCCAGCTACTCCAGAGGCTGAGGCAGGAGAATCTCTTGAACCCGGGAAGTGGAGGTTACAATGAGCTGAGATCTCACCATTGCACTCCAGCCTGGGCAACAAGAGCGAAACTCCGTCTTGGAAAAAAAAATGTATACAATTTGATCAGTTTTAACATATTTAGTAACTCATATAGAGAGTCATGTGATGCTTAATGACTAGAATAGTTTCTGAGAAATGCATTGTTACTCGATTTCATGGTTGTGTGAAATCACACAGTGTATTGATATAAACCTAGATCGTGTGGTCTACTACGCACCTAGGCTGGATGATGTAGCCTATTGCTCCGAAGCTACAAACCTGCACAGTGTGTGACTGCACTGAATACTGCATGCAATTGCAACACAATGGTAAGTATTTGTGTATCTAAATATATTGGCTGGGTGCAGTGACTCATGCCTGCAATCGCAACACTTTGGGAGGCCTAGGCAGGCAGATCACTTGAGGTCAGGCGTTTGAGACCAGCCTCGTCAACATGGTGAAACCCTAATTCCACTAAAAAACACATAAAATTACCCAGGCTTGGTGGTTCGTGCCTGGAGTCCCAGCTACTCTGGAGGCTGAGGCAGGAGAATCCCTTGAACCTGGGAGGTGGATGGAGGCTGCAGTGAGCTGAGATAGCACCACTGCACTCCAGTGTGGGCAACAGAGTGAGACTCTGTCTTAAAAACAAACAAACAAACAAACAAAAATAGGCTGAGCGAGGTGGCTCATGCCTGTAACCCCAGCACTTTGAGAGGCCTAGGCGGGTGAATCACTTGAGGTCAGGAGTTTGAGATCAGCCTGGGCAACATGGCAAAACCCCATTTCTACAAAAAATACAAAAAATTAGCTGAGCGTGGTGGTGTGTGCTTGTAGTCCCAGCTACCCGGGAGGTTGAGGTTGGAGGATTGCCTGAGCTGGAGAGGTTGAGGCTTCAGTGAGCTGAGATCATACCACTGCATTCCAACCTGGGCAACAGAGTGAGACCCTGTCAAAGAAAAGAAGGAAAGAGAGATAGAGAGGGGAAGAAAGAAGGAAAGAAATATATAGAGAGAGAGAAGGAAGGAAGAAAAAAAGAAAGAAGGAAAGAAAGAAAAGGAAGCAAGGAAGGAGAGGGAACAATGGAAGGGAGGGAGGAAGGAAGGAAGGTAGAGAGGGAGGGAGGTGGGCATTTATTTGCAGGGTCCCAAGCAAGAAGGACCAGGTAGTAAATTGCTCAAATCCTGGCCTCACCGATGGCTTGCAGGCAAAAGTTTTTAAAGGCAGAGGTAAATTTCAGAAAAGCAGAAGCTACAGGCAAAATTGTGAATGAATACATGGAGGTTACACGTTGGTTTAGGCCTAAAAGGGTGAGATATCTTGAAGTGAGGGCTTACTGGTCATACGTAGACTCAGAGATTTTCTGATTTGCAATTGGTTAAGGAGGAGAAGTTTTGTTTAAAACTTTGGGGTCAGCAGAGAAAAATGTTAACTAAAGAACGGTGCTCAGAATTCAGTCTTCAGTTCCCCCTTATCTCAGGCCTTCAGTGGAGGTCCAAGTTTCTGAAACACAACACAGGGACATACAGTAAGATATTATCTTTAGTTTCTATAGGGAAAGCAAACATCTCTCGAACTCCAACTTTCTTGGTTTATTGCTTTAGGCTACTATTACCTGTTTTTTTGTTTGTTTGTTTGTTTGTTTGTTTGTTTTTTCCGAGAGAGAGTTTTGCTCTTGTTGCCCAGACTAGAGTGCAATGGTGTGATATTGGCTCACGGCAATCTCTGCCTCCTGGGTTCAAGCAATTCTTCTGCTTCAGCCTCCCAAGTTATTACAGGCATGCACCACCACGCCCAGCTAATTTTTTATTTTTAGTAGAGACAGGGTTTCAGCATGTTGGCCAGGCTGGTCTCAAACTCCTGACCTCAGGTGATCCACCCGCCTTGGCCTCCCAAAGTGCTGGGATTACAGGCGTGAGCCACTATGCCTGGCCCTACTATTACCTTTGGTTTTAACAATTGACTTATTTACTTCTGGGGCTAGCAAGATACCTGGAATTTCCCTGGAAAAAACCAGAATTTTCCTTAATTTCCATTCTGTGGGATCCACAGGCCCCTAAAAAGACGTTCGTGTTCCATGTCACTTCTCAGCTGGTGGACAGCCTCTTCCCTACCTGTGGGAATTCAACATGTTGACCCATCCTCCACTGTCCCCAGGCAGCCAATGACCTTGGTGGTCAGGATGGACTCTTAGGATCCGGAGTGGTGGGTGGTGGGTGGTGGTGTTTGGAGCCTTCTTGACCCTGGGGAAGCTGCAGGATGATACCTTCAATTTTCTCTACAGTGCCGCGGCAACCGGCAACTGGGTTTAGCACTTGTTTGTCCTCTCTGCGGGCTAAGTGATTGGTGACATGTGGAGGCCCTGATTGTTTCTGAAGGGCTCTTTTACACGATCTCCAATAAAGTTCTAAGTGGATCATGCCTGTTCAGGAAAAGAT